GAATTTAGGGTTTAGTGGTTTAGGGGACTTTCGGACTTTCGGTGCTATAGGGTCGGTTCGACGCAGCGCCACCAAACTGTACAACCGAACTAGATGCCAGAGGCAAAATGTCAAAAACGTGCAACAAACCAATTCAGGCAGAACAGTCAATCGCAAGTGCGTCAAGCCACGCCTGCATAGCAGGCGATCGATAACTGTTAAGCCAAGAGGAAAGGGAAGAATCCCCATCGGCAGCACGGCTTGCGAACTCTGAAATCTGCACGTGGAACGGACGGAGCGGTCCGTAAAGACGAGTGGCCGGCAAGTCGGCAGTATCGGTGCAGACTTTTCTGGACCCGGCATCTCCTTCAAAAGCATGATCGCGCAAGGCACGAAGGCATTGGGGGCTATCGTGCATCAAGTGCCTCGTCACCCGGGCTGTCGTCCAGAACTGCATGAGACAAGCAGGACAGGCCGTCCCATGCAGATAGTCACGTGCTATGCATGCCTGGCCATGCTTGGCAAAGCGATGCGCAGCTAGTGCGTGCTTTGTGTCAAAGGAAGCGTCGCACTGCTCGCACTTGTGCAAGCCCACTGGAGTCGCCGTGCACAGACCCCTAGGGGCAGCCCAGTCAGGCTCGTATCCCACAGCCTTGAGATTACGCAGAGCCTTGCGAACGGCAGTTTTGAAGGGCGCCTCATGATGCACACACCAGTCTGCCAGGCCATGCGGGAAATCAGACAGTGCATTCTCTGGAATCTTAACCATCTTAGAGAGCCAGAGGGCATCCGACTGAAGCAACGAAAGCCATGAGGTACTGCTGACCTGAAATTCTGCAAGAAGCAGGTCAGCCAGAACAGGCTGTGTGAGGCAGACCCGCCTGAAGTGCATCAGCCGTTGCCCTTTCAGATATGCAGCAGGGGACGGCATACCTGTAGCAAGACAAACATCCCGTTCACCCGGGAGAGAGGGTGTGCCAGTCCATCTATCATCCCGGTGTAAGGATCGCAAGAGGTTCACGTAGCCTCGCCTCCAAGCCGTCAATTCGGCTTTGTTGAGATGCCCCCATGTTGGCGCGGTGGTTGCGACGCAGGAGAGGGCAAGAGACGAGAGGCACATGCGTCTCGTGGCCAGTGGGAGTCCGGGATCCCGTAGAATCTGCCTGCGCATTGGCTTGATCTGATGTCGGGCCTGAGCCAGATGCTGACAGATATCGCCGGCCTCAGTACGGCGGTCGCACACAACGCCACCTAAGTGCACATAGCGCCTTGTGCAAAAGATGCGACGTGATCCCTCCGTGGAACAGAAGGAAACCAGACCCCCTTGGCGAATGAACAGCAGCTGGCGGAGAGCGGGCGCACCTTTGCCTCGGAAGGCAAAGAGCACTTCAGACTTGCCCCTGGTGTAGTTGGGAGCCATTCCTCGACGAGTAAACTCGGAGTGCACAATGCCAGCCGTGCGCTTCGTCTTGTCGAGGAGACGACCAGCATTGTCCGCAGCCAGCAACACCACTGAATCATCGGCCCACACCGGCGCGAGGAGTTTGGGCCCACCCTGCACTCGGCTGACAACAGGGTCGACCAGCAGGCCGTCACTCTCCATTCTGTCACGAACTCCTGCCAAAAAGTCCGCTTGCACTAGTGCGAAAAGAGTATCTGCAATCGCGTCACCAGGACGCGTACCAGCTCTGGTATGCACTAGGGAGCCTCCACCACGAAGGGCGAAAAAGGTGCCACTAAGATACTCTCGAAGCAGGCGTTGATGGTGTGCGCTGGCCCCTTCAACAAGGTTAGTGCTTGCCAGCCAGTCGCATACGCAGTGGAGCGACTCGGGTCGGACACCAAGCTGGCTGAGTATGTGGCAAATCTGGCGGTCATCCTCCAAGGGGCCCTGAAAAGCTTGCCTAAGCACACGGTAATACGCCGAAGAGACATCCAGGAATAGTGCGCTGTTGGAAGCACCGACTGCCGCAGCGATATCCGCTTGCATCTTCACAACTTGGTGCACTCCTTGAAGCAGGGACTGCGGAATGCCCCCTTGCTGCAGTGGATCATCAGGCAGTTGCTGCAGCAGCGCCCCCCGCATCTGCTTTCTGAGGATTTTGCCAGGCCCTGAAAGCAAAGCTATGGCCCTGTAATTGCTGACCACGGCCGGCGAGCCCTTACCTTTAAACAAAGCGAAGAGCACGGTATGTTTGAATTGAACAGGCTCGCTCAGGCGGACATGGGCCTTGGCAAAGACAGGGAGCCAGAGGCGCGTGGCATCCTGCGGTCCAATGCGCCAGACCCAGTCGGGGATCTGGTCTGCGCCGGGCGTCTTGCGCGCCTTACAGGCCCGAAAAGCCTCCTCCACATTAGGCCATGTCGGCAATTCCTGCAGCTGGAAACAATCGGACGGCACAGCAGCAGGCGCAGGGATGGAGTCGAGGTATTCAGAAGCAGTGCATGGCGTACCTGCCTCAAGCGCAGCGAAATGATCTTGCTGCATATCCAGTCTGTCCTGGTGTGAGGCCTGCTGCTCATCAACAACCAGCTGGGAGAAAGGCTTGAGTACACGTTTGCCGGGAGGGCGAAGTGCACGCACAGCATCGAAAAATTGGCGCGCATCAAAGGGATCGCAGCTGTCAAGCAGCCTCTTGTGCGCATTTCTAACAAACCCGGACTTATCCCAAGCAACGGCCCTTCGCAAAGATCGGCGCCAGCTTCGCAGCTCAATGCACAGATCGGCAAGCATGCCCTGAACATCGGACAGGGTCCATCCCTCGGAAGAAAGACAAACACGACCCTTGCTGCGCAGGGACTCCAGCTTACGCGCCAACCCATGCAGATTGGCAATGCGTTTTTTGCACAGCTTAGTGCCATCCAGGAGGTCCCTGGTGCACTCCGAGATGAAGGCACGACAACGCCTCTTTGGCGGCGGTTTGCATTGTTTGCCCGCCTGGTGTATCACATGTTGCAGAAGCCTCACATGCTCATGCACATTGAGATCCCAGGGCAGCGAAGGAATGTCCTGGATGCTCCTCTTCAGCTGCTCAATTGCTGGTGCTGGCCACTGCGCCGGGTCACGAGGAAAGGTTTGGGGCCCATGAGCAACATGAGGGCGCGCCTGGATTTGCAAAGAAACATCCGTGGTGGCCGGGATGTGGTCTTTGTTTAGCAGCTCGAAGTCTGGCCAAGTGCAAGGTTTGAACGCACAGCGCGCCCAGGCACGCGGCAAGCCAACGAAGTCGATGCGGTAACCATATCCACTCGGAGAGAACCAAGTAGGTTCACGAGCATTGGGCACGCACTGACCATCCGAAGCACAAACCGTGGAAGGCAGGAAGGAGTCAGTGGCCTCGACCCAGCTGCGCAGAAAGGTGCCGCCGGTGTTTTCCTCATCTGCTGCATGACCTTGCACAGCATCTCCAACTATAGAGCCCAGCTGGGCATTGGAGTCGATCAGGAGAACAATTCGGCCTTTGTGTCTGGCGAGCCATGGTGCTTGTTCAAAACACTTCCACCAATCGTTGATGGTTGCCAGCGGTTGCCCTGAGTGGGGTGCGTGAGCACAGACGCACAAGATTTGGAGGTGCGGTGCACGGACCTGCACCGCAATGCACCTGGGATCTGCGTGCACACATGTGAAGTGGCACTTATCGAAGAACAAAGACTGGCCCTTCGCCCGGCCATAATGGCTGGCTGCGGTTGAACAAAAGCGTGACTCCGCCCTCGCCTTTATCCGCGGCAGCTGCAAACTCGATGAAACAATTGCCAAAACATTGGGAAGAGAGCGCATCCCGGGTCTCCTGCAATCCTGCAACATGAACGTTGCGTTCCTTCAGCTGCTGCATCACAAGTGGGCGCTTATCTTTCAGCGTTTGCACATTGCAGGTGAGAAAGCGCAAATGAAGATCCGCGGTCACCGCCGCTGGCTCCGGTGCGGCGGGAACAGGCACGCATGCAAGGGGGATCGGGTCCCGAGGCTCGTAGTGCCCAGCAGCCAGAATTTCAAGAGGGGGCATGCCCGTCAACAGATCCACCTGAGCACGAGCACCCAGCCAGGCCCAGGGCAGAAACGGAGAAGTCAGGAGCTGCCAAAAGGCGTTGGGAAAAGCAGGTGCAGGGAAGCTGTAACGGGCGCCCGCCTTAGCAACGGAATCCACCAGCTCATTGAAGAAATACCCCGAGTGACTGGGCACCCAGCTCACGCGCAAAACGATGCCCGAATGCTGGCACCAGAGGGCCAACGGCCGCAAAAGCGAGGCGGTGGAGCCCGAAGCGTGACTGCTGCAATCCCCTGCCAGTAGAGAGCCGGCTCCCTGGCAGTCGTGCCAAATCATAACCTCAGAACCTTCAGGCAGGCAGGCGGCCCAACACGTGGCCACAATGCAAGCAACAACTTCCGCATCAAAGGACGATGGGCTGGCGCCAAGGGGGCGACGAAGGAAAGGCTCAAGCGAACCCCCTGAGAAACCTCCACATCGGAGGGCACCTGAGGCCGGATCTTCGCCACAGAGAACAAGGCCCCAGCCGCACTGAACATCCGCGCCAGAACCAAGCTTGGAACCATCCGTGAAGATGTGGAATCTTCGCATCGCGGCTAGGCCGACAGAGCTAGCAACAGGTGGAAAGGGCAGACTGTTGACTGGCTTGACCCCATCCCAAACGGAACGCCAAAATTGATGCCAGGGCAATTTCAGCAGGTGCAACCATTGTTGGAACTCAGCAAGGGAGCCAGCCGGCTTCTCAGGAAGCGCTTTGCTGAGCTCAATCACCTTGGGCATCACCTTGGGCATGGCTGTTTTATCCGCATGGGAGGCAGGGCGCGGCAAGTGCCGTCGCCCAAAAGGAGTTGCTACGGAAGGCGTGCCGCAGGACGGGTGTAAGATGCCCAATTGCTGCGCCCTGGTACATGTCTGATCACGACGGCTGGCAGCAGTAGGGGCTGCCTCTCTTGCAATGCAAGCAAGTGCCACACCATCGCCTGGCAAGGAAATCCGAGTGCGGCGGATGTAGTGCCCATTGGCAGGGTTGGAAAACCTGTCAGTTGAGTAAAATGGGTCCATATACACTGCATTGCCCAACTGCTGCTGGGAAGGAGCCAACGCCACGACAATGAGGTTATCCAAACCCTGGCCGATTGTGGAAGCAACTTTGGCCGTGACGGAGCTGGCCTCAGGGTCAGCAGTAACAAAAACCGCCACATCCCCTAAAAAGGCACCCGATTCGAACACCTGCAACCCTGGCGGGACCTCAGGGATGGAGTTGAGCACAATCTGGGCATGTTCAACTGAAGGCGAAGGCCCAGGCAAGTACAACAGAATGGGACCATGGTGAAGGCCCATGATCGTCACAGGAAACAGGCCTGGCCCAGCATAGCCCATCAGGTGAATCCTGGCTGTGACGTGCCTCACAAGCTCATGATACATGATGGCAGCATTATCCCTGTTTTGAGCTGGTGTCAACTGTTGAGGAACTGACCTAGCGTCCACCAGGGAAAGGGGCAACGCAAGCACACGCAGGTCGGGCATAAGTGACACTGCGTGACCAAAGTGAAATCCCGGCACAGGCTTGCCAGGGCGACTGAGGAACAAAATATCTCCCGATTCCAACGATCGCCGCAGTGAGGAAGCACCAACTCCATTCACCGAAAGGGCCCAACCCTGGCTCTGAAATGAAAATGGGAGAACTTGGTCTGCTGTGGTGCCCAAAGGCAGGGTCAGTAACTGAATGTCACCATCGCCCCAACGCGAGTCCAGAATGACCTGCACGTGTGTGCCAGTCCGCTCGGCCCAGATAATTGGTACCATCCAAGCACCACCTTCAAGCATAGGCAGGACCCTTGTGGCTTGCAGGTAGCCCATTCGAGGCCCATGGCCCCTTTCAAGGACCTGAGCGAGCAAAGGCGCGAGGGCGTCGGCAAGTTGTGCACCCATGGGGCTGTGAGGCCCATATTCAACAGAGTGGGCAGTAAAAACGACAAGCTGGACATGCGCGGCTAGGCGGTGCTCTTCAGTGCGATCAATTCCTTGCCTGGTAATGCGCAGGCCTGCCCATTGCATGGCACCCGTAGTGGTAGTAGTGGACTCCTGTCCAAACGCAGGGAAGCCCGCACTCAGCTGGCTGCGCGGGCTATCGGCATCCTCAGAGACAGCTTGCGCGACGGCGGGGTCTTGTGTCCACACAGCAGGGAAGGCCGGGGTATAAAATTGAGCTTCCGAAATCGGGTGCCGCGTATGACCTCCACGGCCTAGTGCATCCACAAAAGGCACAGCATCCGGGACGCCGCTGCGGCCCTCAGTACACTCTGCCCAGACAGCATCATGCAGGTTTCGTTGAGTGAGCCCCGCACCAATGACCATGGTACAAACAGACAACCCAGCGCCTCTCAAGTCAAAAGGCACAGCCAGGGGGCCCATGGGCCATCCGAGCTCCGTAGCAGCGATCTGCAAGATAGGCAGTCTGTCCAGCGGACTGTGAAGAATCTGGATGCATCGTAGCATGGGCACAACTGACATCACGTCACGCACAACATCCTCCAAAGTCCAAGTCACGCCCAGTCTGCGCACGTGCATGTGCCCCACTCTCTCAAACAAGACATAACGGCGCTGCGGGGCTGCTGCATTTTGAAAGAACACACGCAGACCTTGTGCACTGCTTAAGGAGGTGGCGCGGTCTGCATGGCTGATCAACTCTTCAGGAAGAACAGCCACCTCGGCAGCAGTAAGTGCCTGACCATGAAACGCCAAAGGTTGCACGGCAGTGGTGGTGCATGTGGTGGAGCTGCTGCCGCAAGGTTGTGCGACCGGCAACGGCACGCGCAGGACCGCGCCAGGACCACCAATGTAATCAACCGCAAGTCCCAGTGGATTGGCAGGGTCCACGGGGCGCAGTGCAAGCCACTCGACTTCGCAGTCGGCTCCAAGTCGGTCAATTGTGTGGCCTTGCTCGTCCTCAAAACGACAGGAACCATCACGCCAAGCTTGCTCAAGCCTGCCTCCTGGATCAACCCCTTTTCCATGAAGCAGGGGCCAGATCTGATCAATAGGGCCCGGAAAGACAAGTTCAACCGTATGAAGAAGACCATCAAGCGGCCGAAGATCAACAGGTATGGCTCGCCCACCGGCAGGCGCTTGTACGGCAGTCAACACAAACTGTGGTGTGGGAAGGCTTTCCAAAGGGCGGATCACATACCAGACAAGTCGCACCCTGTACGTGACCGCCCTCAAAGCAGCGGCAACGAAGTCAAGCAAGGACCATTCAGGTCGGGCACCCCGGACGAGGTGACCCAGACGACATTCACAGACTACAAATCTGTCTCTATCGGTCGATGCCGGAAAAAGCCCTGACAGCAGCCTGGAGTCGTAAGGCGACATATGCAACAAAGGCCCTCGGATCCACTCAGGCCACATTGGAACATGAGAAGCAATCATGGCCTGAAGGTCACTCACCATGCTCACAGGACGGCTAAGCGCCTTTGCAGCAGGGCCTGCAGGAGCTTGTGTAGGACAGGCAACAAAAGCACCCGAACCAGCAATGGGACAGGCCCCTGCCAGTGAAGAGGGCCAACGGGAAGCAGGGGCAAAGTTATCAGCCGACAACACAGATGGGCCCACATGCTCGGAAAGGTAGACGCTGGAGGTCGACGGGGAACCGCCCCAGACGTCGCAGGGAAGGCAGGCAGGTGGCGAGGAAGTGCATGGACTGAAAGTCGTGCGAGCCGTAGCCGTGTCAGAAAACTGTACAAGACTACCAAACTGTCTAGCCCATAGATTCTGCTGCCTTCGCCCATCAGCAGGTCTTGTGACCACACTCAGTGGCAGAGGATGCGGAAGAACATGCATACAGCTACCAACCGTACAAACGAAATTGCCCTCAGCAGAGCTCTGAAAGGGCGTAACCCTCACCGCCTGAGAAACACACCCACTGCCTGCATCTCTCTCAACCCCGAGCAGAGACATGCGCTGCGAGGGAAGGTGGAAAGGCAGTGAAGAACGTTCAATACCGGTGAGCGTACGCCCCTTCCGCTCACGTGGCTGCTGGCCAGCCAAAGCCTCATAGTAAATGCACCCCAGGTCATCCTCAACCTCAGGTGGAGCCCAGTGAGCCCAGTGCAAATCCTCAACCGAAGCGGCGTCAGCACGTGGATCCCAGGCATAGGTATGAGTCAGGTCTATGCCTAGCTCATCAATGGCGATTTCAAAACTCAACGACACACCCAAAAAGGCAGCGAAGAAGGGCGCCACATAGTCAGTCTCATTCACCACGCTGTGCCCAAAAGGCACCTCGGAGATCGGCCCGTGTATTCCCTTGCGGCTCGTACACGGGCCTAGGCAGGGGGCGTCGGCTTGGCAGCAACCTTCTCGGCTTTGGCCTTGGCTGCATCGTCGTCCTTGGTCAGGTCGGTAACCTCGCCCTCGCGGCTCTTGCGTCTCGGTGTCCGCGAGCCCTCTCTGCCTTCTTGCTTCAGCTGTCTTGTAGCAGCTTGCTGTACTGACTCCATCATCGAAACCAACTGTCTTGAATCGGCCAGCTGGGACTCGCGCCGTTGCTCGAGCTCCTTGGCCGATTGGATATCCGCGATGACCATGTCCTCGCCATCCATCTCCTCCTCGTCTGTCTCGTTGCGGGAAGAGGCGGGATTGCGCGCGAGGCGTGCCAGGTCGGCCAAGTCGGCCGTAGTCTGCTCGAGAGCTCCACTCCACTGCAGCTCCGCCTCGTCGTAGGACTCCAGTTGCGCCGCTTGTTCCTCTACCTGCTTCTTCAGCAGCTGGGTCACTTGGCTCACATAGGAGTTCCATGCCTCCAAATAGGAGGCCCGCGCATTCTGGACTTGTAGCAACTGCTTTTTGGCAGTTGCCTGTGCAGCAACAGCTCGGTGCATGTCCTTGGTATTGTTGGCCGAGGAAGCCAGCTGGAGTCGCTCCAGTGTCTCGCGAACTTCTGTCGGCAGCGTGTCCTTGACAGCCGCCAAGCAACCAGTCAAGGCCTCCAGCTGCGTCTTCTCCAGCGATGGTCCAGTCGAAGAACTGGGTGCCGTGCCCCCCTTGGGCAGGGCAATGGAAGCTCCCGATGGCGCAGCCGGCAGCATATCCACAGAGGGCTTTGAAGCCTCTGCCTTTCCCGCCTTGCCGGTGCCCTTTGTGCTTCCCTTGGGGCCCGGTTGGCCCCCACCCTTTGGCTGCTGTCCTCCTCCTGGTTGCCTCGCTCTGGAAGGTCTTCGCCTCGGAGATCTCGGCCACTGCTGTCTCTCCGAACGCTGATACTGGCCACCATGCTGCCACCCTTGCCTTGAAGTGTAGCCCTCGGCCGTCACTGTCCAGTGCTGTCTGCAGCCCGGACAATATTCCGCGCTCTTGGCGCACTGCCTTGAACAGCTTGAGCACCTCCACGCGCCACTGTGACTTGTCATAGCGGACGTAAATCCCAACACTCGTCTTCTGACCCTGCTGGGAAGCGACGATGCCGAATGGTGTTGTTCCAGGCACCGAACTGCTTTCGCTGTTGCGCTGTTCCAGGTTCCACCCCAGAGCAGCACCTGCCGCAGATGCAGTCTCGCTG